ATTCTTCTATCCTTCTGCAGAATAAACTATTCCTAACAATCTGGCCTTCCCATGACTTCTACCATCTCCTAAGGAACCGGGCCTGGAAGATTGTAGCAGTTAGAGTTAACCGTGATAGCCTTAACTCTTATAAGTGTGCATCCGACTGAAAACAAAAGGTCAACAGGGGAGGTTGGCAGCATTATTGGAAGAAGGGAGCCAGGGCACGCTATTCAGAGGAAGGGTAAAAGCTTTCGTAAGAGGGTAACAATGATATGTAGGTCGAACAAGATTTTCGCTAGAGAAAGGATATGGGAAATTTCAGCCGGAAATAACACTTGCACACCTTAAACAGTAAACTTGCGGCAACTGTTTTCCGACAGTTTATTCGATTGCTGATAGAAGCGAATATACGAATTCCAGGAAGCAGTTTAAGAGAAGCAAATGCGATCACTGGAACAAGAATTCTATTTTTCCTGAGGTTTCGGATTCAGTCGAGAATCCTTAATCATAGGCAACTGTAGAATGATGTAGGCGTGGTATGGTGTGTGCATGCCTCACACCATTCTACGGCTACCGATGATTAAGGTTTCTCGACAGAATCCGAAACGTCAGGAAGCTAATATTCTTGTGCTAGTGATCGCCTCTTCTTCTTCTGGGTTTATTTGATCTTAATTCACGCCTTTCAACTTGCACAGTGTCTTCAGGTCCTACGTGGGAGTACCAAAGGCATATGGCGTGTTGGAAGGTTTTCTCAATGTCTTCCACAAATTGTATTAAGCACCGCGTTCATCTTTCCTACGGATATAACGAATATGTCAATGCTGGTTTAATCCTGGGTCAGCAGGACCTTAATTAAGAAGAAGACGACTCAATCGCTGGGAAAATACTTTTATTAGCCTGACGTTTCGAGATCCGTCACGGATCCATCATCAGAGACATGTGCAGTCAGCAGACCCGTATCCGCTACTGCTCTCTGATAAGGACCCTTATTATTTATCGAAACATTTTGCGCGAGGGCAGGGCTGGGCTGGCTTGGCTAATAGTATGACAGTAGTTGTGCTCAGAGCACAACAATCATCAGGCCGAATCCCAGGTTGTTGGAAAAGACAGAATGCAGCAGAATGAGAGCACATAACCCTATATTGCTCTCCCAGAAAGTAGTGGCCACTGGCGAAGACAGGACCAGTGTTGACTGCGTCCAGTCAGGCCTTAGAGAGAGTGGGACAGTGGTGGTGTAGTGGTCATTGTCTGTCCGATGCCTGGCCTTCCTGTCGTGATCTCAATCCGCCTAGACCTCAAGGTCGTGGCGGCCGCCAGACCTACTGGCGCGCGTGACGTGGACCACCCACTTCGACATCCACCCACACACTGTCAAACCAATCACAGGCCGACCTAGCCAAGACGCTCTCTCTGTCTACTGGCCTGACTGCTCTCAAACTGGCACTTGGACCGCGGCTGGCTCTCCTGCTGGTCGTAAGCTCTCCAAGTCAAATCTCTGTCCATCTATTCTCCGTCCCCTTGTGTACGCAATATACTCTTCCTTCTACTCTGGCCTTAACCGACTTCTCCTCCACTATGTAACCATGGTCTGAAGATCGCAATTTCTGGGTTTGACTCACTTATCCCCCTGCGATAGTGGCACCTGCTTTTTGCATGATCGCGGAGAAAGTTCAAGTGCAGTGCAATTCGTATGTTGTCTTACCCTGTGATAGTGATCAAGGCACAACCCTAGACTCCTACAACTTGGTTACCCCGACGTGACGCGCATTCTTCGGAGCACAACCATCCTTTTGATATGGCTGACCATCTTTTCACAAAATTCCAACTGGACTGCACCACACTGTCTTCTCTGCGTCACTCATCATGCCCACGGATAGGGAAACGCGGTTGCCGACACGCTGTCGCGAATTGAGATTGATGTCTTCAACAAAACACAGCCATTCATGTCCAGGTCGAAGCCCAAACAAGTTATTTGAACCATTCATTCAACTGTGTTGCTATCCCATACCATCTCTTCTGTGAACGAGACATTCCTCTGCCCCTCAACAACGAAACCATCATATGTAAGTTCATTTCATGATACACTCAACATGCAATTGTGTATGCATCGATGAATTTTCATACTTTCGACATTCCACTCTATCTTAATTTTGTGCCTGGATGACGGTGAGCCTACTTCACTGATGCATTCGTCTGACTCAGCTCTCACTGGGATACCTTGTGTTCCTCCTGCTAACTTGCCGACTCACTGGCGTACTTAGTCGAGATAATCCTTCCTCATACCAATTTGCTTACTCATTGGCATTAGTAGTTGAGATTACCTTTCGTCCTACCACATATTAGAGCATGTGAAGGTGTGTAGACGCACAATAATGAGTTCCAAAAAATTGGCACAGTCTCCAGGAGCGAGGGCAGATCTTCGTAGAACTTGTTCTTCGCCCAGTTAGAACTGGTTCTTGGAGAATCTAGACTACCTGTAACAGAAGAATAAGTTTCTCAAAGAGACAAACACAGATTCATAGAACGGTCACTAATGCCCTTTGAAAAACAGGACGGTTGTCCTCCCATGCCGCTCCGGATGGCAAATGTGACTACGCCGGCTCTGGGGTATATATGTGGTTTCCTCGTATTCAGAGGTCGGCCTGCAGATCAAACGTTTCTGGCTTTGGTTTAGTTCTCCCTGTCTACCCCTATTTACTTTGGTTGATTATACTGCTTTCTAACTTTGCCGAAGATGAGTATTACAGAATTGATACAAAGGTCTTTGAGAAGAAGAAGAAGAAGAAGAAGAAGAAGA